TGACACTTTAAATTCTCTCAAGCAGTAATGGATTAGTACAGCAGAGTTTTGGGAGGGTTACTTGGAATCCATGAAATAAGCATAACATATCAACATCTGTGGGAAAATGTTGGCTAACAATCGTGTGCCAAAGACGGAAGCAATGAAACAAGTATGTTCTGCTTAAGTCCTAGAGTCAAATCATTCTTTTCCTAAAAGGTTTTATTTTATTTTATGTGTACACATGTGTGTTCCTGTATATGTGTTGGGCATCACATGTTTGCAAGTTCTCATAGAGCCTGGAAGAGGATATCAACTTCCCTGAAACTGGAATTACAGGAAGTTGTCATCTGCTTGATAAGGGTGCTGGGACTTGAACCTGGGTCCTCTTGAAGAACAGCCAATGCTCTTAACCACTGAGACATCCCTCCAGCCCCAAGACACTACAAATATTCTTAAATATTAAACATTTTTCCTTTAGCAACAACCTTAACATTCTTCAGAACTAATATTCTATAGAAAACATTTTTCAGAAACATCACATTTTAGAAGTTCTGCAAAATTTTGCTTACGCATTCTTTGCTAAGATCACTCTGTTCTCCATTCACTTCTGTGCTTTTTATAGTTATAAGGTATACGGAGTGATTCATTTTGGAATACAGCTCGACACAATATTTATAGCTTAGCAATTCCAAGGTAAATGAATCCAGTTGTACTGTTAAAAATTATCCAGATCTGGATAGATAAAGTTGTCTTTGAACAAACAGTATGCTAAAATCTGGCCTCCACATATCATTGAAATTAAGCCGGAAACTGCAAGTAAATAAAAGGGAAGTTCTGGTTAACTGCCAGTAATGAATAATTCATGCTTAAGATTATGAATAAGAACAATCACCATCACTAAAATAATGTTCCTGAAACTGACATAGCATTTGCCATGAAGTCATTTACAGAATCAGTGAAGAGAGCGGTGCATATATTCTAGGGCTGGTAAATCATTGAATTTTAGAACTTCCTGCAGGGAACAGGCACAAATCAATAGTAAGGAGCCCTTAAAACTCGGCAGTTCAGAGACATGATGTCAGAGCTCTCGCCATATAATTCACAGTTCTTAATTCTTTCAGTTTACCCGCCTGCCGTGTGTTCCCGTTGTTACTGTTTTCTTGTTGTTTTACACATGGTCATGCTATGTAGCCCAGGATAGACTCAACAATCCCCATTCCTCTGTCTCAGGGGTGCAACATTTCAGCTGTGTTTTACCAGACCTGGCTGTTGCCTTTGTTTAATGATATTACTGTTACTGTATCGCTACTACATAGCACACGCGCATGCACACCCACACGCGTTTATAAATGATCTTTTAAAATTATGGTAGGAAACCATCCACATTAAACTTTCAGTATAGGACGAGTTTTTAAAGCTAGAATTCAACATATCTGTGCTATTTGGTTTAATGAGACCTGTTTTAGGTTTTGTTTCATTTGCTCAGTGATTCTTGTTCCCTTTAAAATATAGATCCAACCACTATTGATCCAATTACAGAGTTCTCATAAATCTGCCGCTGCCTCTGTGCCAGTAACAGCACAGTGCCTGTGACAGGTAAGCCGCCCTGAGGTAGAAGCCCCGAGGATTACGGGCTTCCTCACCCATGAGAGAGACTCAGCGACCACCTTTCCAAGACACCTAGCCATTTTAGTCTGCTGTCTACATTTTTTTTTTTTTTTTTTTTTTTT